AAAGTGGAATTGGCGGGAGAAGAAACGACCTTGCTACTTTCAACGGCAAGGTTGCACTTACGCTGTACGCATGCTATCATAACAGCTCAGGTTCACTGTACTCGCATCATCGCCATCGTCCGCAGACTGAGATGTTACTATTTTTCTTGGTCACGGTGTAACAGGTTTTCTACCCTCGATTAACTTTTGATTCTATCTGAACGCGCGCCGCAAGGTGCAATCTGGATTGTCTCAAAAATTTTCCAAAGCAAGCCTTGCAATGTTTGCTAATGCAATTTATTATAACAATTTCGGAGCTGATCTCTCGTCACAAACATTTGCCAATTTGCAACGTTATCGGTATGTTCCTCGGACTGCCTGTATTCTGAATAATAAAAAATAATAACCGCACGCGTCACTTATCCTTCATTATCCATAAAAAACGATTGCGATGAATCAAATCGATCGTCGACCGCGCAAAGGACATAAAGGCTCAAGGATCGGGAAATATACGCTTATGCATTTTCTGCTAATTTTCTATTATTACGGCGTTATCAGCAATGTTTGGCGACAAGGCTAACTATGAGGATTACTATTTTTCTTAAAACATCGCGTTCCACGCGATTAACAAGCGTCACCGTGTCAAGGATTCCAATAATCGTGTTTAATTCAAGGCCGGTCTTAGTTTCGCACGTGGTGCTTACTCGAAGTGAAGAAAATTATCTTTGAAATGAAATGAAGAAAGTATTCATGTAATATAATTCAAGGCTATAACTCTAAAACTAAAAGTAATTATACTTTGAACCTTATTGAATTTCGAATTTCTAATTAATTCGTGACAATGTTTTGCCATTTACAATTTTTTAAGGGTATTTATGCAAATCGATGATGAGCTATATGTACTGATTAAAAAAAGAGCATTCTTGTAATGCAAAAGAAACCGATAAAGTACATAATTATATGTTTTCGTCGTTCTATAAAAAGCCTCGATACCGCGGCTTGCAATCGTGTCATCAATCTTTCCAGTAAATGATAATCAAGTAATGATTTATTACCTTTAACGGGGTGATCTCGTCAAAACTGGTTGGCGTGATTCTTAATAATGATACCGAGCGCGCGATGCTCAACCACAATTAGATTATCGGCGCGTTCGACCAGTACCCAGACCAGTAAATTCTTTGTCCTTCGTCATTTTTGTAATCAGCAAAAACCGTTAAATCTTCAATCTCGTAAAAGAAGAAGACGAAGAAGAAGAAGAAGGTGCATAATAACTGTCGATAATTACAAGGTTAATGCGGCCCGTGCACATTATGTAAGTTTTTTCCGAAGTCCTTCTGAAGGCTGCGATAAAGACGTTCTCTCGATAAAAAATATGCGCGCGATATTCCCATTCCGCGTTTCTTTGTTCACGTTACCGGCACAAATCGTAATGGATTTTAAACCACAAAAAGAATTAAAACGGGAAGATACGAGCCTAAAAGTGCGGACTTTAACGGTTTCTAATTGAGGGAAAATCAATTTACTTTTTATATCGTTGACTAAGAAAAGAACCTTAGTCAAAATTGATTTCAACTGAGCGTTTGAAGTGTAAGAAATTCGATTAATAACTATTAAAGAGAGTGAATAATTGTATTATCGCACTGCAGTGCTTTGCATTTGTGCATTTAGACTCGTGTTGTATCTATTTGATTTCTCGTATCTACAAGGAGCCAATTATTATCTATACTCAACTAACTTTATTTATTTATTCTGTCGGATTTTAAGATCTTCTTCCGAACGAATGTGCACGAAGCGTAGTAATAATATGCGTGTTTGGATATTACGGTCGGTAAAGCCTCTTATGAATGATCAAAGATACAGAAATGAATCAAAGGCTTAGCGCGAATATCTTCTACTTATCTACATTTCTTAGAGATACACATTAAATATGCTATTTATAATAATAATCCGTATATTAATAAACCCTTAACGACGTATGTTTCGTGGAGACGGCGTTATCGCCAATTTCACCGTTTCAAGACGCTGCAATCGCGGGAAGCGCGACATCGCGTTTGATTTACATTTAGATCGAGTTATAGCGCTTTGACGGTTAGTCAAAGTCATATCAGCATAGTGCTGATACAAGTGTGCAATTATGACGCGAAGGCTAATGAAGTGGAAGACCAATTACGTCGTTTTAATCTGGATTACTTGACGTGATTAAAACTAGCATTTTGCCACGACATGTCCTCGCAACGTAATACACGTGCAATAATTCAATAAATAGTTTTACGTGTTGGCACGTTTGAGATTATGGAAGACTGGACGTATAAACGATGTTCTCTCGACGCCGCGCCGCATTTGACAGAAAGCGAGAGAGAAAGAAAGAGAGAGGACAGAGAGACAGAGAGAGAAGAAAGAGCCGGTTAATTCAGCGACGTCGATTCTTGCCAGCCGAGATATCCATCGACGGAGGGCGAGTTAATTGCACGACAAACCGCGAGATACGCCGGGCACGTTGTCCTTGGAATGCGTCCGAGGTTGCAAGTTCCTTTAGGTTTCATTCCCCGAAGTGGCAGCAACAGCAGGAGCAGGAGCAGGAGCAGCAGCGGCGGCAACAGCAGCATCCAGCAACAGATGGTAGACCTATCTGAATCGGTTTATAAATAAGTCATGTTGCCTCCTTAACAGCCCGTCATTACTCGCGTGCACCTTCGTACCATTCCGGCATATATATCCGCAGCTTAGAGGGTATCCGTTTACACTTTGATAGTAAACGATATTAACCGCCCGAACGGCCCCTCTCATTATGCTTTATGCGCGCAGCGGTGCGCCGCCGCGGCAACAAAACGTCTGCGATACCTATTTCACGATGCAACAACGTGGTATATCTTTGCGCAACGTAAATTGCCCGTAAGGGAGGTAAATAAGGGCTGAACATAAGTCACAGCGACAAATGACAGAAATAAGCTAAAATACGTGTCATCAAAGATCAAAGGCCGGGCGCGTAATTGTTCATGTTATACGAGAAGCAATTTCTCGTGGAGGAAGAACAATGTAACCCGAGCCTCAAATAAGTTATAACTGGGAAATAAGAAAAAATGCGTTTTTGATTAAGCTAAGCTTTGCTTGCTTTCTCTGAAATTTGCGTTTAATGTATGTACCAGAGTAAATGTTATATAAAATCAAGCGCGATTAAGCTCCATTAATGTTTCCTTGCCCGATCTATTATTTATTTTGCATCAGCCGGCATCGATGTTCGGCATGCGAAATTAGATTGCATGCTCTTTCGCATAATCGTAAACGCGCCTGTGATCGTAAGCAACGACCACGTGGAATAATCTTGATTAGCATTCAGGTAACGATCGACGTGTAAACGGAGCCTACAACATCGCGCCGTGAAATGTTTCATTCAACGCTGCGGATATTTCTCCGAGCATACCGTTTTATAATGTGGGTTATTCGCACGAATTCAATATTTAAATATCAGCTGCGTCAATTTGTTGTAAAAACTCTATAATTCGAGTATATCTTACTCCAATGGTGATTAAAGAAAATTTTATCTTTATCTTCATATTATATTTCTCCCTATATTTTTAATCTTTATATTAAAAAACAAACATTCGCAAAAATCAAACGATAAAACTTCGATTATAATTCTTTCTGTATTTTTAATCTTTATATCTTCATATTACAGAAAAAAAAAACAATATTCGCAGAAAATTGAACGATGCAATTTAGGCACGCTGTTTAAACGATTCTAAAAGGTTGATATGTTAACAAGCAGATTGCTTGTCTGTGCGAAAAGAATTTTGCAACGCACGATTGGCATTGGCAGTGAATTCGCAATCTGAACGTGCCATTGAAACTTTACCGTCACGATTAAGTAATGACATAGGCTTCTTAACTCCTTAAGAAGGAAGACGCAGTCGGATGTTACGTCATTGTTCGCGCAATATTCTTTTCACTGGACGGGAAGGAAAGATCACGAAACGAGATTGGAACGGGTCTATTCATTTCAAGTTCTCAACGCAGTTAGTTCCTTCCTCCCTCTCATTCTCTCTCTTTATTTTTCTCTTTTTACTCCTTACACGCGCGAGAACGCGTCTCCTCTTCGAGGATTTTCTTCTTTCGACGGTGTATATACATACGTGCTCTATTGACAAGTCATGTACGTTGCAATTCGTTACGAGTTTACACAGCGTTGCTTCTACCGTTGCTGCTGTTCACGCGTTGATACATGGAATACGTCGCGAGCAACGGCACGAGAACGTGAAACTCGCACCGGCATGCTAAAAGAAGTCTGTGGTAGCACGGTTTCCGAACTCTTTTAAAGCAAAAGTATTGTACTTATAAATTATGGCGTTGATTTTTATTCATATTTAAAAATATTTTGAAATGTATTGTAGAAACATGATGTTTTGGTATCGAATATCTAAACGTTTAAATTTTTAAATTACCCCTTGTGAAAAATATTACTGTACATCTTCTCAGTTAACGTAGTAAAACTCTTTTACTCTTGTTTAAGTATTAGTGGTAATTAATGTGCTCGACAAAAAGTTTAGAATTGACGACGAACTATATCTATATATCGTCGCCTGTGGCGATATATGCTACGAGCATTTATATTTCCGGTTGCACAGATCTCACAATCAGTTTCTCCACTGAGCCATTGCTCGTAGTCTCCATCTCGATAAACACCGGGGTACCGCACACAATCAAGAGCGCTATAGAGGTAGTTGCGAAAGATAAGATGCACGCGATGACGTTCTTTGATGTAGGTGTTAACGTGCGTTAAGATGCTCTTTCGTTATCGGATGAATCGTTAAGCAGAAGACGATAGCCGTTCTTCGAAATGGCATCAGGGTCAACAGCCAAGATAGTCAACATGCACGTACCTAGACATACTCATCGTTCGGCAATTTGACTACAGCGAAAATCAAATATAACTTTGAACCAAAACACGACAAAAAATAAACGCCATTTATTTTAAGAAATTATTTTTTCATATAATAATGATTGGTAATTTTACTATGTTGCAGATAAAGTTGAATACAAAAGATGTGGAAAGTTAGATCGATTTTGAGCGTCTTTGCGACGCTAATCGTTACAAGATTGACAGAAGCTGGTGAGAACTAGTTAATTTTTATCTTTATTTTAATCTCTATTTATTTCAGTTTAACTCAGTTAAAAAAATTAATAGAAGACGTTTCTTAACAAACAAAAATCATCGATTAATCATCCGTTTCGTTTTGACATCAAATTTAGAATAATCAATATTGAATGGTTGAGAGAGTTGATTAATATTCAGATCAATAATACATATTTTTTAAAGTATTACATCTAATTTACTAAAATATGTAAGGTGAATATTAATCGGTTTTTTATCAGTTCTTTCCCAGTAGAGGCTGCGATGTAAAAAATCATTAATTAATCCGTCAATTAATTTATTTTAACACGAGAATGAATATTTCTTTTCGCGGCATGACGATTACAAAATTGAAAACAACGAGAACATTATTCTGATCTATACAGATATAATTATCTGTAAAATGAGTGCTATATACGGACAATAAAATTGTTACTTTATAATCTGCTTTATTTAACATGTTGTGTTGTTGCTTATTGTTTTTAGAATTGAGTTTATTTAAAATATGCTGTCTGAACATATAAAATAATAAAAAAAAGGAAATATTGAGTATTTTACGAAATATTTTTTATTTAGTCAGCTAAAGATTAAATTAATTTTGAGTGCTAATTAACCATATTAAATTGCAGATTATTACGGGTATAACCAAAACCAATACAGGCAGAGCAATGCTCCTTTTAAATGTAGAGAAGAGGGTTATCATCAAGATCCTCGTGACTGCAGAACTTACTATAGATGTGTAGATTGGGGCAACGGCAGCCCGCTAACGACCTTCAAGTTCGAATGCGGAGTAGGCACGGTGTTCTCCAAAGATAAGGGAGACATTTGCACGCATGCAGAAGATAGCGGTCGGTCTGAATGTGGCAGTTCCGAGAATGAGCTCGATTCGAACGTGCAAGATCTTCCTTCCCCCATATGGACAACAACGGGCAGAACAACGATACAGTCGCGACCGACCATAATACAATCTCCAATAACTACTGGACTATCTACAGCCACGACTGAAGCTGCTACAACAATCAAAAAACCAGACATAACAATACAGCCACCGTTACCGAGTCGACCAACTATGGATCAACCGGAGAACAATGATATTAATTGTCAAAATGGAAATCAGTGTACGCAAGAAGGATTTTTAGCCGATACTTGTGACTGCAAAAAATTCTACAGATGCGTAAACGAAGGTTACGGAAACTTTAGGAAGTACGATTTTAAGTGTGGCGAAGGAACTGTTTGGGACCCAGAGATTCAAGCGTGTAATCACGCTTGGGCTGTTACGAGGAAGAACTGCAGGCAGAACTTAGAAAGTGGAGACAGTGATAATAGCGGACAATGGAATGGAGATAATAGTGGGCAATGGAATGGTGACACTGGTAGTCCAGGTCAACCGGGAGATCCAAGTGGCCAACCAGGACAACCTGGAGATCCAAATGGTCAACCGGGTCAACCGGGAGATCCAAGTGGCCAACCCGGGCAACCTGGAGATCCAAATGGTCAACCAGGTCAACCGGGAGATCCAAATGGCCAACCAGGACAACCAGGTTCTCCGGGTAGCCCAGGTTCTCCGGGATATCCAGGGACACCAGGTTCTCCGGGCACTCCAGGTTTACCAGGCAGGCCAGGCTCTCCGGGATATCCGGGAACGCCAGGTTCTCAAGGCACTCCAGGTTCGCCGGGCAGTCCAGGAACACCAGGTTCTCCCGGCACTCCAGGTTCATCAGGTAGTCCAGCCTCTCCGGGATATCCAGGAACACCAGGTTCTCCAGGCACTCCAGGTTTACCAGGCAGGCCAGGCTCTCCGGGATATCCGGGAACGCCAGGTTCTCCCGGCACTCCAGGCTCACCAGGCAGGCCAGGCTCTCCGGGATATCCGGGGACACCAGGTTCTCCCGGCATTCCAGGCTCACTAGGCGGGAGCCCAGGCTCTCCGGGATATCCGGGGACACCAGGTTCTTCCGGCACTCCAGGCTCACCAGGCGGGAGCCCAGGCTCTTCGGGATATCCGGGGACACCAGGTTCTCCCGGCACTCCAGGCTCACCAGGCAGGCCAGGCTCTCCGGGATATCCGGGAACGCCAGGTTCTCAAGGCACTCCAGGTTCGCCGGGCAGTCCAGGAACACCAGGTTTTCCCGGCACTCCAGGTTCATCAGGTAGTCCACCCTCTCCGGGATATCCAGGAACACCAGGTTCTCCGGGCACTCCAGGTTCACCAGGCAGCCCAGGCTCTTCGGGATATCCGGGGACACCAGGTTCTCCCGGCACTCCAGGCTCACCA